CCATGGGCAGGACTGCATTTTATCGGAAGACATTTCTCCCTTGTCATGGATGAGGAGATTGCTGCTCCTACAGGCTTCAACATGATTTTTCCTGGTATGCTTAGCCTTGCCATTGGGGTGGGTTTGCAATTTCCTGTCAGACAAACTGACATTGATGGGATGCTTCACCAATGGAAGATGGAATTGAAAAGGTCTGTTGATGAAAAAATATTGGTATGAATTATATTGCCCCCGTTTGTATTAGGACAGTTGTTTCTTCCCCATCTTTTTCAAAGGGGGTTTTCTTGTAAGAAATTATGTTTTCTTTTTCGATCAACCGTAATTTGAAGGAAAAGGGACCACCATGTCATTCGTATTGTCTTTTGCATACTGATGAAATTAGCAATCATAATTTGAGTATCACCTGTGGGTCGCATATTAAAAATTCTCATACTTGACTTAATTTAGGCAGGCCGGGGAGAAATCTTATGGCAGAGAAGCATATATGGCCTATGTCGCGGAAGGGTTAGGAAACTTGCTGGACTGGAATGAAGTTATGAAGTTTCAGAGGAAGAATGGGTCGTTGTTCAACTCTCCTTCCACAACTGCTGCTGCGTTAGTCCACAACTATGATGATAAAGCCCTCGAGTACTTAAATATGCTAGTCAGTAAATTTGGTGGTGCAGGTGGATCTCTGTACCTTTCCTTCTGAAGAATTTGCAAGGGTTTTAAAGTGTTGCGAAATACTTAATACCAGTAGACCTTTTGCAGTACCAACAGTGTATCCGCTAAATATGCACTGCAAGCTTTCAATGGTGGATTCTCTTGAAAAGATCGGACTTTCTCGGCATTTTTCTAGTGAGATAGAGGGAATCTTGGACATGGCATACAGGTAATGACTGTAAATAGGAAACTGATATCTGTTTTTAGTAGCTTGTAAACTTTACTGTCTCCTGTTTGCAGTTCCTGGTTACAGAGAGACGAGGAAATTATGATGGATGTAGCAACATGTGCAACGGCGTTCCGCCTTTTACGGATGAATGGGTATGATGTATCCCCAGGTACTTAGGCAGAAAATCCTGTCAATGTTGTCATTGTTCTTGGTTTAACAAATTAACAGTCTAACTTCCTAATTCTATCTTGGTGCAGATGAGCTGTCTCATCTTGGTGAAGCCTCTAATTTCCATAATTCACTTCAAGGATATTTAAATGATACAAAATCTGTACTGGAACTATACAAGGCTTCAAAAGTCAGTGTATCAGAACATGAATTAATCCTAGATAACATTGGCAATTGGTCTGGCAGCTTATTGTCAGAAAAGTTGTGCTCTGAAAGGGTGCAAGGCCTACCAATCTTAGAGGTGCCTGCATGAAATTTGAAATACCCATTTTACTTGGTACTAGTTCAAGTTATATCTAATCCTGTGCTTTTGTGATTTCAGGTCGAGTATGCCGTTAAGTTTCCGTTCTATACCACGCTGGAACGCCTAGACCACAAGAGGAACATCGAACATTTTGATGCTAGAGGTTCTCACATCCTGAAGACAGAATGCTTGTAAGATTCTCATTTCTGTAATAAGAGGTGCACTTTAAATCATTTTAATTAGACATAATACTAAAAATTCAAACATTTTGCTGAATCAGGCCGTATGGTATCAACCAAGAACTTTTGGCTTTGGCTGTTGAAGATTTCACATTTTCTCAATCTATCTACCAGGATGAACTCCTGCATCTTGATAGGTAATCTGGCCATTATGCTCTCTTGTCATGTAAACTTTCTTTTTTGTTTTCGGAAATTTTTCAAAAAAAAATTCGCAACAGGTGGGTGAAAGAAAACAGGTTGGACCAGCTACAATTTGCACGACAGAAGTTGACATATTGTTATCTATCTGCTGCTGCTACGATTTTTCCTCCTGAACTTTCTGATGCTCGCATATCGTGGGCCAAAAACGGTGTGCTCACAACCGTTGTTGATGACTTCTTCGATGTTGGAGGATCAAAAGAAGAACTAGAAAACCTCATAGCATTAGTTGAGAAGTACAGTCCTTCAACTTGATGTCTTTGTCTGCTCTTTTGTAAGTAGTGTTTCTGCCTTAGACGTTGCTAATAAGTCATGTTTTCTGTTTTGCCAATGGCCGCCTTAGGTGGGATGAGTATCACAAAGATGACTTCTGTTCGGAGCAAGTAAGGATTGTATTTTGTGCTCTCTATACCACAGTGAACCAGCTTGGATCGATTGCTTCTGCCGTACAAAACCGTGACGTTAAAAATCACCTGATAGAAACAGTGAGTTGTCTGCCCCTCCTCTTGTTGAGTTGCATTATGTTCAGTATTGACAGGTTGAAATTCATCTGCAGTGGCTACATCTATTGAGGTCTATGATGACCGAGGCAGAATGGCAGAGGAGCCAATATGTGCCAACAATGGAAGAATACATGACAAACGGGGTAGTTTCATTCGCACTGGGGCCCATTGTGCTTCCAGCATTGTATTGTGTCGGGGAAAAGCTATTGGGGAGTGCTGTCAAAAATCAAGAGTACAGTGAGTTATTTAGGCTAATGAGCACCTGTGGCCGTCTCCTCAATGACAGCCAAGGCTTTGAGGTATCTTGGGCCCTTAATGTTCCTGCAGACCCCTTAATGTTTTCTTTTTCTTTCGAAAAGGAGGATTACCCCCGGCCTCTGCATAGACCCCTTTATGTTACCACCCATTATTCAAGATTTCGCAGACCTGCATAAAAATAGCGTTTCCTTAATGTTACTCCTCTGATCCAAAATAAGTGTCACTGTTTTGAACTAAGGTTGAACTAACCTTAGTTCAAAACAGTGACACTTATTATGGATCAGAGGGAGTATTATTTATGTTATTCCACACACCATTTGAACTATGGTGGACTTACAATTCCCACAAAAGTCAAGACTGTCGTTGTCTGCTTTGTTAAAATGATGTGAAACGAAGCTCTCTTGATCATATTAATCATAGGAAAAAAGGGAGATCTACACCTCTTATCCTGGTGGCTTGACATTGTAGAAGAGTCAATCAACTCTGTTTTATACCTGTGCTGCTGTACAACTACTATCCAGTTTTTGGTTTATAAACGGAGTACTCCCTCTGTAACTTAATATAAAACGTTTTTTGACACTGTCATAGTCTGTATAAACGTCTAATAAAAAGTTAGAGATAATAATATTTGAACTCTGTATAGACCTATGCATTAAGACATCTAACAAGTTAGCAGTAAGTGCTCGTGATTACTATGCAGTTAAAGTCTGTAAACTTGAATTTATCGTTGGATGACTGACCTGTTCCCGATCATATGATGTTGCAGAGGGAGGGCAGCGAGGGGAAACTAAACAGCGTTTCGCTACTCGTTCTTCACAGCGGTGGCTCTATGTCCGTAGAAGCGGCTAAGAATGCGATACAGAAGTCCATAGTCGCCTCGAGGCGAGACTTGCTAAGATTGGTCCTCAAGGAAGGCACTGCTGTTCCCAGGGCATGCAAGGAGCTGTTCTGGAAGATGTGCAAGATACTTCACCTGTTCTACTTCCGGACCGACGGATTCAGCTCGCCAAAGGAAATGGCCAGCGCGGTGAATGCTGTTATCAACGAACCACTCAGGCTCTCAAGTTGACAATCCATGGTTGATGGTCTCATCAGAAAGAGAAAGATATTCATGTGTTCATATGGAGCAGAGGGATCGGCAGTGAACCTCTGACCCTGTAACTTAGAGAGATGTAAAGATTGACGAAGGTAGGCTCAATGTTTTTTAAAACAAAACCTTCTGTTAGCGGAAAGTGATATTTCTGGCAGTTTCATCGGAAAAACGCGGCACGATCAACAAGAGGACATTGACAGGTACTACCTCCGTCCTGGTTTATTGGTCTTCATTGTATTCCGTGTCAAATTTTGACCGTAAATTTAACTAACAAAATTTTCATGCATGTCAACAAAAAATATATCGTTAGATTTGTATTTCAATGATATTATTTTTTATGACATGTATGAACATTTTGTTAGTTAAATTTACGGTTAAAATTTGGCACGGAATATAATGGGGACCAATAAACCAGGACGAAGGTAGGATGAAAGTGACAACATGACTATTTCCTTCTCCGCAAGGATACCACGTGGGCAAACAGTGACACTGGCATGCTTCCGACCATATCTTTGACTTTTACCAATATAGTGGGTTGGGGGTCATTTTAACAGCTTGGTGATCAAACTCCCCGATAGGGCTGGAATTCAAGCCCAGCCGACCTCGACTAGACTCATTAACTTGTCGATCTGAAATTTAAACTCGGCTTGATTCGTGTAATTCACGATTTAGCTTGTTTAACTAGTTATAAATGTGAATTACGACAAGTCGACAACATGGCACATGCGGCGAGCAACATAAAAACAAACAAAAAAAACGCCAATTACAAAGTATGTTTATTATGAATGCAATTAATCTACATAAATGCATTTCTAGACACATTTTTTAACCAGAAATCACATTAATCAACAATTTACACCAAAGGGATATTGGCGCACATTACAGATCACAACAATCAACAACAATATCAGCACATATTTCATGTCCCTTCTCATCAAGCTCAACTCGTTAAACCAAAACTTGTTTGGCTAACGAGATCAGATTAAAACTCAGCTCGACTTGTTACTCAACGACTTCGAGTCGAGCCAAGCCATGAGCTGCTCATTTAGCTTCAGAGTTTAGAATTTTAGTTCCAGCTAGGCGTGCAAGTTGAATGAAGACAACTAAATTTTACTCCAATTGTAGCTGCTCGCCGAATTATTTATTTATCATTAGTACAATTCTCTAGGTCTTATTGATCATAAGAAATTATTACATGGACACAAAGGAAATTATGAGATTGACCCAACCAAATACGAAGACCATGACTTAACGATAAAGAGAACCTAGCGAGATTGTGAGCTTCTACCCACGATGCCTTAATCCCACCCGAGCACAACTGCAGAGTTAACCCAACATCATAAACATTATTACACATCTGCAAGCCTCAAAGTTCCATGGGAACATTGTACGGTGTTGCTACTAGGTGAAGCTGGTTCTTTCTTCTCAGTGTTGTGCCGACGATCATGTCGATGTCAAGTTCATCCGGACGCATTCCGCCCGGTAGGCTCCAATCGAAGAAGTACAGAAGCCGAGCCAGGATGAGCTCCAACGTGGCCAACCCAAAGGTATTGCCAGGGCACATTCTTCGCCCGCTCCCGAACGGTAAGTACTCAAACTGTGTGCCGTTATAATCCACGATAATGTCTTCGAACCTCTCCGGCTTGAACTCGTCTGCGTCATGCCAATACTCGGGGTTCCTCGCTATCGCCCATGCATTGACCATGACCCTGGAGCCCTCTGTGATCTCAAACCCACCAACATCGCAAGTCTTGCTGCAGACACGGGGGAGCAAGAGCGGTGCGGCCGGGTACAACCTCAAACCCTCCTTGATCACCATCTTCATGTAGCGCAGCTTGTCCATGTGGACTTCATGGTCTCCAGGACTCTTGTTGTCCAATGTTTGTCGCACCTCCTCCTGAACCTTTGCCATCACCTCTGGGTTCCTTATGAGCTCTGACATGATCCACTCAAGGAGTGACGACGTCGTCTCCGTGCCTGCCGTGAACAAGTCCTATAGGAAATATATAGAGTGGGATTAATCCGACTACAACAATATAACTTTCTTTCTAGGATGGAATATTGTTCTCGTACTTTCTTAATTTAGAAGATGAAATTTCTAGTAACAATATTGCTAAAACACATGTAGATGTGCTCTAAGTGTTGCACATCTAAGTCCTATGTCATTAATTTTACGCCAAGATTCGTGCAAGCATTTGTTTTTTTCTTTTTTTCAAAGAAAATTGGAAGGATGGAAATAACGTATAGAGAAATGGCGGACGGGCGGGCGAAAGAAAAATTGACGGAAGGTAGAACCTTATGTCTTACTCCCTACTTAGTGATCTCTCTAAACTTTCTTATAGTATTTCTCTCTAAACTCTCTAAACTTACTCCTTCCTATTCATATTAATTATTGTTGATTTAGTATAAAGTTGTAGTAGTAAATCAGCAACAATTAATATGGATGGAAGAGATTATTAGCAGAGAATCAGATAGAAGGCCGGCCTTTGAGCACTTACCACTATAATTGCCTTGATGTTTGTGATGCCGATGGGGAACTCATGCTGCGCCTCATCCTTAATCCTAAGCATGACGCCCAGAAGGTCATCGTCTCCGGCTGTGGCATTCTTTTTCTCCGCCCGTCGCGCCTCGCAGCTGGCGATGATCTTGTCAAAGATGGCGTCGAACTGCCGGCGCGCTCGCCAGACCGAGCGCCTCAGCCCAGTGACGACGTCCAGGAACCACAGCGAAGGGAAGAGGTCCCCGAAGGAGAATGCCCCAACTATCTTGAGCAGCACATCCATCCCAGCCAGGAACCGCTCTTGGAGCTCGGCGTCGAACTCGTCGCCGAACGTCGCCTTTGCAGTAATCGTGTTCGTGCACGACATGAGCAGCTTCCCGAGATTGACGGGCTCGCCGGCGGCGGCGCGGACATCCCTAACGAGGGACATGCTCACGCTGTTCCTGATGGGCGCAAACTGCCTCACCTTTCGCGCGCTCAGGAGCTCCACCATGCAGAGCTTGCGCAGGGTCCTCCAGTACGCGCCGTATGGCGCGAAGGCTATGTCGACGCTCCCGTAGCCCACGATCTCCGCGGCCAGAAGTTTCGGCCTTGACGCGAAGGTGAGGGAGCTATCCCGGAGCACCACCTGTGCGGCTGCCGGCGAGGAGATCACCACGGCGTCCACCTGGCCCAACCGCAGGTACATCACTGGGCCGTGTTTCTTGGCCAGGTCCCGGAGAGCGATCTGGGGCGTCGCTGTCAGGAGGTGGAGGAGGCTTCCGATGAAGGGGAGGCACCGTGGGCCGGGGGGCTTCCTCCCCTTGGAACTTGCTGTGGTTTTGCGGCTAAGCAAAGACACGAGAATCATCAGTGAGACGAAGGATAGGACCAGGAGGGTGGCTGCGCTTAGCTCCATGGCTCGATCAAATTTGAAGCTTTGCTTGGGATGAAGAGCTACTAGCAGGAAGTGCCCTTTTTATAGTAGTATAAGGTAGTAAAGGACAAGCGAGGGGAAAGAACTTGTGACGACTCGTTGTACATTCTTCTCGGAATATGTCAGGCTTCCACGTGGTCTAAGTTTTTTCTTTGCGCCTCAGGCGGCTGCCCGTGCGACGGCCCACTGCCACAGACCGAAGAGTCTATTTTTAGAGCATCTTCAATTGAAGATGCAAACTTAAAGATGTAAAAATTTACATATTTAAAAAGTGCCTTTTCATCTTCGAAAAAGGGCCAAACTCCAACAGATGATGTAAAATGAAGATGTAAAAAGTGCAACTTCAATAGGTGATGCAAAATGGAGATGTAAAAACTACGGGGCATAGGTAGGGGGGACGGCGACGGTGCGGCCCGATTCGGGGCGGCGGGGGTGGCGAATTGGTGCGGCGGTAGCGGCGCGAATCGAGACGGCGGAGCAGCGGCGATTCAAGGCGGAGAGAGGAGGAGGAACGGCGTAGGGGCGATGCCGAAGGTGGAGGAGGGCCTGTTTGGCCGGAGGAGGAAGCCACAGCCGCCGGCGACAGCCAATCGCCCTCCGCAGCCGCATTCAACTTTGAAATTTTGGCCGGCCGAGGTTGGTTCACCGTCAGGTTGCGCCCCCGCGCCATGTGTCACTTCACGCCTCCACCGCGTGGCTTGGCGGCCCGCTGCTTCTTTGTAGGCAGCTCTGGCGCGACGGCGACCGGCCGAGGTGGGGAAAATCCGGGGCGGCGGCATGGCAGCTTGGGGCCCGTGGTGACGCCGACGGTGACTGCGATGAGGTTGGTCTGACCAGTGGTGGGCGGCCGGCGCAGCGGGGTCACCGGCGCAGCGGGGTCACCGGCGTCAGTTGGGCGAAAGCGAAATGAAGGCAGTTGGGCGGTTGGCGCGCGACCGCCGTTTTTACATCTTCTGTATGTGGAGATGCAAATTCACCACGGGTGTTGTAGTTATCGAAAAAGGCTTTCGCCCTGCTTTATATATAAAGCCACAACCAACTTACAACGAGTGATACAACACCACACGCACCCAAGGCAAAGTACAAAGATGCTAAGAAGCAGCTAACACTCCCACAACAAAACCAAGTAAACAATAGATAGACACTAAGCCTCACTAGAAAGTCGAGGGAGCACTCAACCAGGAACAAGCCACCGAGAAGAGACCAAGCTACCCGCTGTCGATCTATGAGCCCCAAGGTGATGCCTTCAAGAAGGATACGCCACCGGAGTGCCGCCACCACCCGATCCAGAGGATCACGATTTTCATCCGGGGCACCTTGGAGGACATGGAGTAACCACGATGGAGCCCTCAAGAAGATCACGACCTCCACGGATGATGCCTCCGTTGGCCTGGGGATGCCAGGCAGGGTATTTACCCAGGTAGACACACTCCGGCTCCGAACAGGTTGTGACCAGTCCTGGGGACAGACACCGCATCACAACCACCAATTGACAAGCACCAGCCGCCATGCCGCCCACACGACCATGGAGACTAGCCCGCACCTGAGCCGCGAGCTCCGCCCACGAGCACGCCGCTCCCGCCATCAAGGCCGCCGCCATGCATCCCGACGCTCCAGACACCAACAAAGGGATGGACTTGGAACCGACCGGTACATCTTCGAACGACGAAGATGTATTTTTTTTCATCTATATCATCTTTTGGAGAGGGATTGTTGAGCCTGGGAGATGCAAAAATTAGTTACTTTTAAATCTACATCATCTATGGAAGATGATCTTAAAATGGCTATTGGCTGGTGGGTTGGCTGCACATGCATGAGCCCCAGCTTTTCCCTGTCGTTTTCAGCTTCCAGCCCATGCTTCTTCCTCAAAAGAAAAAAAAGTCACACCCCCGGGATCTTTCACCTCGCTGGCATGCCCTTCTTCTCAAAAAAAAGTTCACCTGTCATGTTGGGCAAGAACAACCAAGGGGAGAAACGAAGAGAGAAAATAAAAATGCGAAGGTTGATTTGTTGTACATACCTACTCCCTAGTTGCCAGATCTGTATAATGTTGTCGCAATTCGTTGTCGAGCTTATCATGCTCTGATTTTTTTCCTACTACCCATAGTTGTCAGATTAGATTTATCAGTCTGCAAGAAAGATTGTAACAGGTTACTAGAAATAGTGGCCGAGCTTGCCATAATCTTTTTCTTTTGAAGTCATAACGAAATTTGCTGTACTTGCCCTCCCTAGTTGCCATACTAGTTTTACAAGGTTGCCAGATTGATTTGTATCAGGTTGCCGGAATAGTGGCCGAGCTTGACAAAACAGGATTTGTTAAGTACTTTCTTTCCTACCCTGTAGTTGTCATATTAGTTATATGAACATGTCAGATTAAATTAACTAAATTGTTTTTTTTAAAGATCTGGGGTTGCCGGCTTCATTGATTTAGGAGAAAGCAAGCGGGGAAAACATCGGTGATCAAGTGATCATGGTTACAAGAGACGAGAGCAACAACTGAAAAAGAAAGGAAAAAGAGGGAGGATATAGCCCATGGGTTGCTATCTCGCTACATCTTCCCCGAAGGGGGGCTCTAGGCATCGTGCTCCTGCTACTCTCCACAGTTCCAGCATGCCCTTGATGGCGCGCTGGACATCTTCAGTTTGTGGCAGCTTGCCTCTGAAGATGCACGCATTTCTCTCCTTCCATAGCTCCCAGGTAATCAGCAGCATCATCGACTTGAAACCCTTTCTAAAGCTTGGTGGCATCAGGGCAGTTAGCCTTTCCCAGTGCCTGAGGGAGCTGCGATGCATTTCCCGCCTCTCCTTCATTGTTGCACAGTCGGACCTTGAGGACGCCTTCTGCCAGATCGAGCAAGAGAAGGGGCAGTCCCAGACGAGATGCATTGAGCTCTCTAGGTTTCTGTTGCAGAAAACACAAAAGTACCCGTTCGGCCATCCACGTTGTTGCGGACGATCGTTGCACCATAGCCTGTCATGGTGAAGCAGCCAGACAAAGATTTTCACGGTGCCTGGAGCCCAGGCCTTCTAGACTGCTGCTTTGATTCCTGATGATGGGGCTCCATTAATTTGGAGGTTGTATGCTGATGGAGTCATGTACCTAGGGTAGGGTCACAGACCCGATTTAAGTACCCTGCCCAAGGACACCTTTAGAAGAGATCACCTTCCAGTCGACCTACGGGGGACTCACTCGACTGACTTGAAGGACTCGACCACGAAGACTCATTCGACCACCAGAAGGTCAAGAGGCACTCTGCACTGCAACGGTCTGTAATTAAGTAGACTTTATGATAGTAAAGACACTTTATATGGGGCGTTACCAGTAACGCCCCGGACTTAATGTACCTTAAACCCTTCATTACGTGGGTTGGCTGGGATCCTGGCGCACTCTATATAAGCCACCCCCCTCCACAGGCAGAAGGGTTCGGCACCTTGTAATCCATATACACATAATCCGCTCGACCGCCTCCGGGCTCCGAGACGTAGGGCTTTTACTTCCTCCGAGAAGGGCCTGAACTCATACATCTCTTGTGTTTACAACCTCTCCATAGCTAGGACCTTGCCTCTCCATACCTACCCCCCACTCTACTGTCAGGTTTAGATCCACGACAGTTGGCGCCCACCGTGGGGCAGGTGTTTTAGCGATTTTGTGGAGAAGTTGCGATTCTTCCGAGTACTTTCATCATGGTAGCTGCTGGAGTTTTGGTCGAGGGTCGAGAGATTCGTCTCGGTGCTCTCACCTTCGTCGCCGACGACTCCGCCTGGCTCCAGGAGGCTCCACTCGACGTCGATGCGCTCCCCGTCCGTGGTGCGACGCATTTTCGCGCATGTGTCCGCGGCGTTCTGCTGCGGCAACCGTCGACCCCATATCGGTCGACTCCCCTATCGACCACCCTCCCGGTCTCCCGCCAGCGCAAGCGCTCGGGTCGGTCGAGGCTTCAACGGTGGGTGAGACACGCGGTGGCTCGCCAGACGGCCACCATCCAAGTTGCGGCAATCGAGCCCGACGAATCTCTCTACGGCCTGTTCGATCTGTCGACCGGCTCCGTAGAGACTGCATCCGAATGCGATAGCAGTGATCCAGCGGCGGAAATCCTGATGGTCAACGGGCCTTGCAGCCCCCCTGGCTTCGCCCGTGATGGTGGGGCAGGCGACGGAGGCGATCCCGCACGAGACCACGAAGAGTACCAGCCCGAGCCACTCGACTCTCTGCAAAGAGAAGAACTTCGCCGCAGGAACATGGATGCCCTGCATACTCCCATCGTAGGAGAAACCCCCGAGGCTCGCGCCTTGGAGGAGGCACGTTTGGCCAATTTGGCCGAACGCGCTCGCCTGGAGAATCTTCAGCGAGCACTCGACGAGCGCACGCGGCAACGAGTTCCCGACGCCAATCGACGTCAACTCTTCCCGCCGACTCAGGTATATCGAACCCCAATCCAGAATTTAGCAGCTGCGACCCGTATAGCAGAGTCCATCCAGCCCTCTCAGTCGGAAGCTGGCAGAGGCTTGATGCAGATCAGGGATCTGCTCCGGGCAGCAGGAGATCAGAATTCAGCCGTGTCGCAGTCGCGCGACAGAATTCGCAGTCGACCCGTCGCTGCGAATACGGTTCAGTCGGCTCACAGTCCCAGATCGCCTCCGCGGCGTGAAGGGCGCGAGAATCGGCGAGACCAGTATGGAGACCGACACGACCGAGATGATAGGCGTCGAGTGCCCACTTCCCCTCCGAGGGGTGGGTCTTACGCTCCTCGGCAGCAAGATGACAGACGTCAGCTCAGTGCGGGGCGAAGAGTTCCAGTCGACCCCAGAGAACCAGGCTTCGACGCGCGATCCATTATCGTGCAAGGCTTGGTCGACCGGAATAGAGCCCATCGAGGCGGACTCGACAGAGATGCGCCCACGAGCAGTCGAGTGCACGTTTCTGGTCCGGAATGTTTCAGCAGAGCTATCAGAGCCGCAGTGATTCCCCCCAATTTCAGGTTG